ATCCTTCCCACTGCCCTCTTCCTCGCTTTCTTTCGCGTTCTTCTTCTCAGCCTTCTTTTTCTTCAACTCATCTTCCAAGTCATCGTTCGTGTTGAACTTTGGAGGCGCCTCCTTAATCTTCTTCTTCACTTGAAGCGCCTCCTCGATTGACATGTCCGGATAGGCTTTATGACACCATTCCAAGAAGTCATCCATGCCAGCAGCATCGAACTCAGCTTCCAGCCTGGCTTGCTTCAATGCGCCCTGAAGATCTTTCCTCATCGCAAAGGCTGCCTCAGCACGAGCCTGCTTAGCAGCTTGTTTGGCAGCAAGGGCATTGGCCTTCTCCTCCAGCTCGGCCAAGGCTTGGGGCGACTTGACACGGAAACGTCTTGGGGGAGGTGTCTTGAGCCCGTCTTCATTGTTTTTCTTGTCGTCATTGGAGCCTTTTGTCCTGTTCTTCTCTGCATGGTCCTTCTCCTTGTTGGTCGCCTTTTCCTTCTTCTTGCTCTGATCTTCCTTCTTGCTCTGATCTTCCTTCTTGGTCTGCTCTTCCTTCTTGGCCTTGGTCTGCTCTTCCTTCTTGCTCTGATCTTCATTCTTTTTGGTCTGATCTTCTTTCTTCTTGCTCTGATTGTCCTTCTTCTTGGTCTTCTTTTCTTCCTTCACTTCTGTCGCATCGTCCCTTTTCTTCTCATCCTTCGAATCCCCCTTTTTAGCCTTGTACTCCATGATGGTCTTCTGCTTTGGGTCCTTCTTCTTTGCGCTCTCTGCGGCCTTCTTTTGCTTCTGATCATTCTTCTTCTTCTCTGCTCCCTTGGACTTACCAGTGTCGGCAAAGGTGACATGAGGTTTCACCTTGATCACTTTTTTCATCTCCTTGGTCTTTCTCAGCGCAGACGGCCTGGCCTGCTGCGCAGACTTGGCCATGAATGACCCTACCACAGATCCTGGAAATGTGTGGGTCCAGTGCCAGGTGAACGCTCGAGCTAAAACAATTGCAATGTATGCAGCTCTCTCACAAATGTTGCAATGTGTTTCTCCCATTCGCATGTGTTCTAGTGACTCCAATTTTTGCAGATTTCTGAAACATGTTGAGATATTACCAGATCTCCCATTCGCATGTATTCTCACCCGTTCGCATATGAATTCTCTCCCATTCGCACGTGAATTTGGCCGGAAAAAATGCAACAAAATGAAACTGGGTTGGCGTTTCTTCGCTCTCTGCAGGATTAAGCGAGCAGCCGCTGACCTCTGGAGGGCCTCCGCTTCAGATGAAGTCGACCTGGCAGTGGGGACACTTGGTTTGCGCATGATTGGCTGCAGGGTGGGGTTGAACAGGAGGGCAGCATCCCTTTTGCCACATGTGATCTCGGAATGTTTTGGCACATTGCGTTTCTAAGTTGCTGCGTGTCTTTATTGTGTTTCCCTGACATGAAAAGGACTGTTTGCTCCAATCATTGGACACGCTGATTGTTGAGACTGCGAGCAATGCGCATACACCCAAATGATCTTCTCCGCTCCGCCTGTCCAAGAGTCAATCCAATTAGGATTTGGTGAGGGAGCCCCTAAGAAGGCTCACTGCATCACTGAAAGCTTTTTGCTCACTGAATTGGCAAATTCTGTGTGTTTCACACAGCGTTTACTTCGAAAGATATTCAAAAATATCCCCCAGCTGGGCAGCATCCATCCAAATTTTGTTGATGTGCGAAGAGCAGTTGGCATGAGCATCCTCTGCGCTGCAAGCCTGCTTCAGGAAGTGTCGGGCTTGTCGCTTGTGCTGCTTGGCATGGATCGATCGGATCTTGGACATGCTAACTCCAAACCTGAGGGGAAGTTAATGGTGGCCTTCAAAAACACTCCAATTGTGGCCTTAAGAGACTCTCAAGGCCACCTTGAATAGGGATTGAAGGTCGATGAAGGGATTGGCAAAGTTATCAAAACTAAATCAAAACCAACAATAAGACCCTTTAATCCTTTTAATTTCAAAGGCTAGACACCTGCGTGGATATGCTTGCGACTGTTTAAGATCTTTTCCTCCTTTCACCCGAGATTTCCCACTCCCGTCGACGTATTTAACCGTCATCTCCACATCCTCCGTTTGGGGCTTGGCTGACTTGTCCGCGTAATAGGCCAGGTCAGCAATCTCTGGGTGGCCTTGGGTGATATTTGCAGACTTCATGAATGCCCTTTCATACCCACAACCCAAACTTCAATACACTTTTCCATGGGTTGCTCATGTGTTTTGGGACGCACGAACATGGGTTGCTCATGTGTTTTGGGACGCACGAACATGAACGTGAACCTGCAAATAGTGCCAAAAAGGAAAGGTTGACTTGAATCCAGATGGAGCCAAAGCACTACTGTACAGCCATGTTGGTTTCCGAGTCGGGCCACCATAGTACAGCATGCATGTCGAGTGCCTTTTGACGCGAAAGCCCTTCAGCCTCAACATTCGTTGAAACAATGGGTGGGACTCAAGGAGAGAATTGCATGGCTGTTCAAGCACCCACCAAATCTGACGTGCTGTTGCTATGACCAGCAAGCACACCACGCGCGCCACCATCATGTTTGCATCGCGCACCGACTGGTAGGAATCATCACCCAGCGGACACGCCTTCGTGCGCTTTGTGGAGCCCCTCGACCTCGGATGTGAAGAAGGGTCAGCAGGCTTATAGATGTTTATAGGTTGTACCGGGACCGTTTACCATAAATATCAAATATCCTCTCTCAAGCTTTCTTGGAAGACATGATATGTCTTATACACACAACACCGCATTGAAACCATGAGCGAGTGTCATGAACACCCATGACGAGCACACTGGCGCTGCGAAGAATCCTCCTCCCGGCTTTATTGCCAAGAGCTGGGCCAAGGTGTTGCAAAACCCGATTGGTGTAAGTATATCATGGTGGGCACCGAGCCGGATGTCCATTGGAATCGCTTTGCGTGCCTCCTCAAGGGGATTGCAGGTAAGTATATATCTCAATTCATACCTTGACAGGGGTTTGCGATTAAAAGACAAGAATCCTGTCACATGTCAACATGAGAACACCCTTTCCACACCCATCCTGCCATTCCCCAATTGTCACCGCCATCTCCCCAGCGAAGGTCTCCACATGATCCAGAGGTGTAAGGGGCACGTTGGTGCTGAACATCATTCCAACCAACGTCAGCAAAGCCTGAGATGCGAGGTAACGGTCTGTTTGGCGTTCTTCTACTGAACTTTGGGACTTTGGGCCAGTTCCCAGTCTGGAAACTTTTTATGGAGCAGGAAACTTAGGCTTCTTTTATTAACAAGACCTCGGAGTAGGTCTCTCAATTCCCAAAAAGGATATGATATAGTATGATATAGTATAGATTGCTTTCGGTTTGAACGAGCCACAAGCGGAGCGCCCATCCATCTGAGGCCAGCCATAGTCCACATCTTTTGCTTCGACTTCCATGACACAGGCTTGGATCTATGTTGGCCGACTTGGAAAGGAAGGCGGTCACTGGCTGACTTCGCACGTTTCGTCGAAACTCTCCTGGAGATCCCCTTGACCATGATTGGGGCTCGGGGCAACTATAAGACAAACTGGGAGGCTTGAGGTCAAAATCAACTGAAGTGGAACGCTGATGTAAAAGCAGCTAGCCAAAAGCCATCTCCCTCATAGTCTTGAAGCAAAAGCGATTGATTGGAATGCTCGGTCCCAAAGTATATATTCATATATACATATATTGGCAGGCCGTCCCTCTCGCCTCTCATGATGGTCGATCTCCTCGATCTCCCTGCAGAGTGGTTGGCCGTGACTTGCGAACTTGGTGGAAAGGGTCTTGTTTGGGCCTGGATGGTGAAAGTGGTGGTGTTACAATTATAGCGTGTTCTAACAGCAACGTTGTTCAACTTTGTCTTGACTCGTCCATGATAGTCCACATCTGCTCATACTCGATCGCAAAAACCAGTTGGAGGGTCCTTTTTGACGGAGTTGGAATGAAAAAACCGCAATCCCAGATCACTCTGACCCTGGCCTCAAAACGGATGATCGTCTTCGGCTGCTCGTGTAGATGCAAGCCTTGCATCCAACCAACACATGTGGGCTGGCTTGGTGAGCAAAAATACACTGATATTCCTTTAGGTTGGGGGCCATCATTAGGTTGGAAGCCATCCCTATATTGGGTTGAACTTGGAGGCCATCGCTATTGGAGCCCCTGGCTCTTAATGCACGAGACTCGATCCTGAAAATGTTGGACATCGCTATGGGTTGGAGGCCATCGCTATTAGGTTGGAGCCCTTGGCTGAATGCACTCGATCCTCAAAAATTTTGCAGGCCATTTCTATTAACTAGTATAGATTGGAGCCCCTGACTCAATGCACTCGACCGTCAAAGGCTGGAGGCCATCTCTATTAGGTTGGAGGCCATCTCTATTGGTTGAAGTGGTCTCTCACGGACGCCAGCCTGGGTTGGCGATCCAAGGAAGCGCCTCCACGTGCAGCTGCCAGCAGCTGCGCGCCGGCGCGGCAAGCGGCTCATCGTACCTGGTGGGGTGCGAAAAAGATGCTGATCGATCACACGCCTCGATCGAAACTCTCGGAGAGCAAGGTGCATTGATCAAAACAAAGAATGTCAGATATTTGTTTATCATCTACTCATATGTATGATAAACGTATTTACACATAGCATGTTTGGTCTTTCGTTTCCCTTCTACAAGAAATGTTTGTTTGCGCCTGTCGCAACTTGGCGATCGAGTCACAAACCATCGAGATAAGATCCAACACGATGGTCTTCACACTACCCTGTACCCCAATGTTAAAGCACCTCTCACAAAGATATGTTGAGAGATGGTGAACCCACACCACTCTTTTCGAGTGATCACTTCAACGAAAAGAACCCTGCACGGGCTGTTGCCACTGCCCACGCCTTGGACGCCCCATCATGGCGGCTCCATGTTACTTGCCCTTTGCGGCACTCTTCTGAAGCTCCAAACCCCACACGCTTGATGACATAGCAGCGCTTGTTGCACAGCACTTCGATTGCCTAGCGATGGGTTCAACTGCTTTTTAAAATTATATATAGTGTTAGGGCCAAGATGAAAACTAGTCCTGATTCACCAAAAAATCAGTACACACAACCCACGCGATATGAATTTCAAAACAATGCAAAAGACTTGCGAAGCAAAGGCCAAAGAACAGCGTCATTTGACCCTGTCACAGTGTAGCCGTGCTTTCCGTGATGGACCTTGCTTTCATCTGGCCAAGCGCAACGTGGCACACCAAGATCCTTCAAGTTGTACCCCTTGAAGAGGTGCGCAGCTGGTAGCGGAGAAGAGGTCTCCTTGCAGGCCTTCGAAGTACTGGCCTTGGAAGTACTGGCCATGGACTTGGACTTGTCCTTGGAGATGACTCCCTTGACCTTGGAGGTCTTGGAGTCTGCGCGCTTGGACTCCTCCAGCTCCTCCTGCTGCTTCTTCATGCCAGCAGCCTTGAAACAGGTCAGCTACACGAACAAGCAAATCAAATTCCCCTGTCAACATAATTGAAAGATGAACGCAGGGGCTGGGGTTTGAAGACAGTTCATGCTGAGGCACTGTTTGTCTCCCAACTGGAGGTGGAGTGAACTTATCCTCATTCAAGGCCGTCGACATCAAACCATAGCTCCGCGGGGTGACCAATTCACCGCAGTCATGTGACGCTAAAGGCTGATACGTCTTGTGCTCGGCCTCTGACTCATCCATGCTGAACTTGAGAGCTTTCTTGACATTGTCAATGTCAGATGCATCGCTCTCCTGCCAGAATCAAAACACACAGGTAGAAAAGCAACAAAACGCTGGATACTACCTGGTCAGGATTTGGAAAGCTTCTGGCAAAACTTTGTTTAACTAGTGCGACTGAAATTGCAAAATTTTCCTTAAAACTGTTCAGACTTCTCCTGAGAGAACTTCCTCTTCAGCTGCGACGGATTGTTCTCATGACCATTCTGTCGACACCACGCATCAAAATGGTCAGGAGTGGTAAGCCAGCAGGCTGCACGAGGACCAAACCTGGCAAGGGACCAGTCGATGTGGTGCAAGTATTGCATGAACTTTGGGTGGCGACACATGGACTGGTGGTTGTTTTGGATGAATCTCATCACATCAAGAGACTTGTCGATGATCTCAGGTGTTCTTGGCCCGGAATTTCCAGCCATCGGGGAAAGGAAGAGCTCGACATTCTCCTGCCATTCCTTCTCGTGAGGCTTGGCCACCAGCGGAGTGCCAGGTTGTGACTTGTCGCTCGCATCAGAACCACTCAAATCACTTGAGTCGTCCTCGCCCAACATCAAAGTGCGTTTGGTCAGCAACTTTGCATTAGGGCCATCTCCAGAACCAGATGGTACTGCAGGGCGCTCAGCCTCACTGTCACCATCATCCGAAGATGCAAGACCATCGTCTTCAATGCTTCCATCATTTGCAGACTCAGGCGCACTGTCGCCCGGTTCAACAGGATGAATACAAGCATGGGCTCCCGCCTCATCTGACTCGCCATCTGATGACTCCTCGTTGGCTGACTCGAACTCTGGCTCGGCAACCCCATTTCCATCATCATTCAAAGCTGGCATGACCGGAAGAGCCTCAGGACTGTGTTCATGATCTGCAGCTGCTTGACCTTTCTTTGGCGACTCTTTCAAGAATGATTTGAGCTCGGTAACCCTTGGATGGTGCGCGCCACCAGGAGAAGACCTCCAAAGTGCCCTGAGGGCTCCTAGAAGTCTCTTGAGACGTTCAGCTTCTTCACCTGCAAGAACTTTCTTTGTTTTGCCGTCCCGCTGGACCAGCAACTTGCCATCCAGAAGACTGTCCAGGAACAAGACAACGTCTGTCAAGTAGATGCCTCCTGGAACAGAGTGAGGATGGTTCTGCACGAGGCCTTTGAGGTATGGGTAGTTCAAGGCAATTTCCCCACAGCTCGGCCTGTGCATATCAGACTCTAGCTGCACGATCTCTCCTCCATGCCATCCATCATCGTCAATCATACTCAAAAGCACCGCCGGCAGCTGGGCTTTCATCGCCAAAGCATCCGTCTCCACATCTTTCTCAGTCCAAGCTACTTTGCCTGGTCCTTGCGTGAGCATGGCTCCAATGAGGACAAATCCAAAAACGAACGACCGAAAATGAGTGATATCATTACGAAAAAAAACATGACGTGAAGAATATTTGAAAAATAGAATCAACACGCCACAAAGTGTCTGACGGACTTCCAGGTGCCTTTGCGCAGTGACACACCGAGGGGCCCGCTCATGACGATAGCGAGTCTACCCACCTTGTGTTTCAGCAAAACTTCCGGGCAAGGATGGCTGCGACAAATGATTCGTCCTGCATGCGTCATGGACACAAGTTCTGTGGGGCCTGTTTGTCGACCAGACTAGTGACTAGTTAGTATACCCATCCAGAACTGAAGCACCGACCGAGTGATCGAATCCAACTCCCGACTTGGCGCACGATGTGTGGAGGCATCACGACGCCGGGAGGGAGCCGGCGGGTCCGATAGCAATCTCGACTTGCCAGCCGTGATGCACACGCAAAAGGACTTGTCTAAAAAAATCACGCGTGTGATGCCTGCACATGGATGGCCCAGGTTTTTGGCTCATGCATCAAAACCTTCGACAAATTCAACTCTTCAACTGCACGTTCAACTGCACGTTTCGTTTCATGGATCGATGTACGCTCTAGAAAGAGTGCACACCATGCGCAGCACCGCACTTGTGGAAAGTATATTTTTAAAATGTATCTGGGAGGTGTGTATATGAGAGAGTGTGCCCTATGTCCACGAAGCCGCGAGAACAACGCGAGGCTAAGACAAAACGTCACCTATGGCCAAAATTATATCTGCGTGAGACCAGTTGTTCTTTTGCTTGGCAGCGACTGCACCTGGCAGCATTTTGTCTTGGAAGGGCAGGTGTGAGACCAACGCATACCATTCTCGGTTTGCAGCAGTCATCACGTCAGAACTTGCACTGAACATGGCACATGCACCCAAGAGAAGACATACAAGAGACATGGTTTTCTACAATTGGCAAGTGGCGTTGTCTTATGTTGAAACGATGTCCCTTGGACAAGGTTGGAGTGTCTAGGATACCTATACTACCTACTACTCACTACCTACTACCTACTACTACTACCACTACTATTACTATACTATTATTACTACTACTACTACTACTTCTACTACTACTACTACTACGACGACTACGACTACGACTACCACTACGACTACCACTCCCACTACCACACCACTTCCACTACCACTACCACTACCATACCACTACCACTACTACTACCACTACCACTACCACTACCACTACCACTACCACTACCACTACCACTACTACTACTACTACTACTACTACTACTACTACTACTACTACTACTACTACTAGCTCGGGCCCCGGAAGTTTCCCAGTTCTGGGCCGCCCAGTACTACTACTACTACTACCACTACTACTACTACTACTACCACTACTACTACTACTACTGAAAAGATCTGGGTTGTATTATTATAGTTGGGCACAGGTCTCCTGATGAAAGCATTCGCTTCGGACAAAACAGTCAGACTTGGCGCTGAAGGACTTGTGCTATGGGCTGAAATACACAACGAGGGTGATGTCAACGTGGCTGTATTGAAATGTCATGGTGGGGATCACTCGAAGTAAAGTAATTGGGAAGTACACTGTGGTATCTCCCTCAGAGTTGATACTGTAGCCACTGTCGGGCTTGGTTGAGAGGTGTTTCTTTGCCAGCTCTCAACACCAAGGATCATACATACCAAGGAGTTCCATATCGGGGTTGTTTCTAGACCCATCAACAGGCAGTGGATGTTTTCTTGGCTCCCCCGACTTCCTCCATGAGTTGCAACCCGTCATGTGACGCCCCCTATTTCAAGATGGAGACTGAACATGACAGCCCGTTGGGGCGATTCGCAGCTACACCACTTTCCCGCTTTGACCCACGTCGGCGCGCGGGCCAAATCCGCCCTCAAGCGTTGCTGTGGGGCGGATGAATCAACGGCCCCCCTCGACCTGTCCCCACAGTTGCCACCTGAGTTGGTCCAAGCTGCACTCGGTGAGCGTGGCTGGACCGTGTACGACACAGAGCACGTGTTCTGCGAAAATCGTCGCTACGACTCTTCCAAGAAGCTCCAAAGGCCACGCGCCACCGGAGCACAGCGCGCGCGGCCATACGGTCCAATCGCTTGGCCAAGGTTTGGCGACTCGTGAAATTTAAGAAGCGCCCCCAAGTTTGCGCAGGCCGCGCCTGAGCAGAGCCTCCCCCTAGTATGGTATTTGCGATGTGTGCAAGAGGACCGATTGCCAAATAGACCTGGTTTGGGAAAATCATTGAATCGTATGACTCTACGTAGTAACTAGCAACTCTAGTAGGTAATTTGTTTGTTCGGGGGAGTGTATGTGCTTTGTCAATTCAAAGCACATAGGGTGTTATGTGTAGTAGAAAACAATGGAAACAAATTGGTTGACGCTTTGGAGTGTAAGTTAGAGGCTTTGCACAGAAAACGACAACAGCAGCGCCTCTATATGTCGAAGCAGCGCCAAGCTGCGATCAGGTGTGGTCGGTCGCGCAAGACCACATCTGCTGTGTACTGTGTCCCAAGCAGCGCATGCTGTTTCCAAGATTGCAGGCTTTGCCGCGCGGCTTCGTGCAAAGTTGAGAATCAAATCAATAAGCAGCGCCACCTTGCACAGGGAAGTGCAGGAGCAGTGATTTCGATTTTTGCCATGACTTTTGCAACTCGTCTTTGCCACCTGGCAGCCACCGAATCCGCTCCTACCGGATTCGGTGGCACTACGCTCAAATGATGTAAGCCTGCGTGTGGTTGATATGAGCTTGTCGCAGGACCATGTATGTTTGCCGCTGCTGATTTCGTCTGCGCTTTGAGTCTGCTCCCTAAACCGTAGAATCTGAAGTTATCCGCAGATGGCACTTACCGCTTGGTGTTTGAGTCATATGTGTTGCTGGCCGTTGTGAACGTCACACCAACGTCAAGAATTGGTCAGTATGTGTGGACTCGAGAAGCTGCTCCAGTTCCTTTCTGCCGCTGGGTTTAGAATCTTGCATTGGCAGACAGGGAAAGTGAGCAGGCCTATGCACACCTTGCACGCACCATTTTCAGAACTGCTCAGACTTTGGGCCACGAGTCACAACTTGGAGCCACAAAATGTACCACGGTGCCATGCATACGCGTAAAGGGATTGAAGCTGCCCGTGCTGTTGCTCCAAATGCCACTCGCGTATTCGACTGGGCACATGTCACGAGGTGCTACTTCCCAACGCCCCGGTGGACTTCAAGGCCTTCTTCTGAAACATTTGCCACCAGCCGCCCACTCCTCTCATGTTCCGTGGATCTTGTATTTCTGCGAGATCACCGCAAAGCAGTGGCGGGTCCGATTGTCCCACATCATTTGGATAAGCATTTTCGCAGAGCTGTCCTCCGAGCAACATTTTCACATACAGTAGACGGGGGGGCCTCTTTGGGTCCTGACACCTAGCTTCACCTCTTTCCAAGACAGTTTAGCAGCAGTTGTGGTGCAAGCAGAAGCTGGCAACCCGATGGACATCTGGCACATCTGGCGCCGCCCGATGGTCCGGTCGGCCTCCACAAGCAAGCACACAGGATGTCAATAATGCGGTCTCACTCGGGCAGTATAACCGACATGACCGATGGCTTTCTTGATTTTTCGTCCGTTTAGAAAAAAATTTAAAACACAGCACAGCATTCTAGAGCAAAAAAAGCCCCCCCGAGCTAAAGCTTATTGAGCCATCTAGCAATTCTAGCGGTTTACGCAATCTCTGATAATGCCTCAGCACCTTTGGTGCGGGCGAATTTTGCTTGGTCTCCCACTGCGCATCACAATGATGGATGAAAACTAGAACGCATTGTCGCCATGTAGCTTTTCCACGCCTAACTACCTTTTCCTCGGTTTACCGTTTGTTCGACCCACGCGTCGTCACATCTTGCCTTCTACATACAGCAAGTCATCCAGCAAGCGTTGCGCAAAGCCATTTGCACCGTCGGATTCCCCAAGACAGAAGCCAAAGCTCGACAGCAACTTGTCCAAGCTTGCACGGTCAAACTTTTCCAAGCTTGCATGGTCACAGAATCTGCATGGCCTTTTGCGCGCGCCACCTGGGGTTGCCGCAACAAGGACTCAGCGCAATTCTGCGCACACTGCTCAGTTCCTTCATGTGCTAAGATGCTCGCCATAATTGCAGCAACTCCATAGACGAAACTAAATTCATGCTTCCTATGTTGCATTTGCATCTTGCGCTTCCCCTCTCCTTCTCAGGCTCATTGTCATTCGTTTCTGGAAGCGGAGAGAACAAGTTCGCGCTGGCGTTTTTTCTTGGGGAGTCTTACACGCGGCCAGCCAATGGCGCCCCAGCGCGTCATAAATTCCACTGGCTTTTTCAAGCGCGTGACATCTGCTAGCCTGACAAGCCCCATGTTCTCTTGTGCGGGCAGGGTCTCCCCATGATACAATGTTTGGTGCGCAGCGCAGTGAAATGTGGTTTCTGCCAGTTCCTCGCAAGAACTTACGCGGGCCTGCCCGTAGTTGCGTTTTTGGTGCGCCATCCATATAGATCGAGCCACACTGCGCTCGTTGCTCGCGAAGTTCCACAGTATTCTTCCCTGCAAAAACTTCTTGCAACCAGTTCTTTCGGGATGAGCGCCCGATCATCCTGTTGAGGCAAGCTTTCGCAAAAGCATTCTTGAAATGCAGCTCCCCCTTCCACATCAGGCTCTTCAAAGCTCCGTTCATCATCTGACGCACCAACTGTTTGCGCATTAGAAGAATTAGCCACGCTCGCACCCGGCCAAATTCCAATTGGAAAATGTACTCTTTGATTTCTGCACCCGTGTGCCTGCTTTAGAGATAGATAGATAGATAGATAGATTAGGTTAGGTTAGGTTAGGCTAGATTAGGTTAGATTGGATTGGTTGGGTTAGGTTGGGTTAGGTTAGGTTAGGTTAGGCTAGATTAGATTAGATTAGATAGACAGATAGATAGAAGGATAGATAGATACACAGGTAGATAGTATCTAGGTAGACAGATGTTCTTCCTGACGGTACACTTCCTCTGACGCTTTGAGCCCTGCAACTGTCTTTCCCGGCTCAGAGAGCACAAGTATCCGCGCGGGCGGCTTCAACCGCGAAGCGGTGTGAATTACATGGTTACAACAAAATGCTAGAGGGTTGTAAAAAAGCACGTGACAGGGTTGAAAAACAAGGTTCCAGGGCTGAAAAATCATGTTACAGGGTTAACAAAGAAGGGTCTGGGTTTGAAAAATATGTTCCAGGGTTGTAAAAAAAGGTTGGTGTTTAAACGGTTCTTTTGGTGGAGAAAAATGGTTACCCAAATACCACTGCAGTTTGTTGTAGTGCACCTTTACTGGGCTATGCAGAGTGCTCTCCATAGGCACTATCCCTGTGCGTAAGAAGGTTGAGTGCCCCTTCGGGGCCTGTTCCTCCTTGCACAATTGCGCGGCGGCTGCTATTGCTGAACATAGTAGTGATGCTTTAGCTCGCTTTGTTCCTGACACCGCAAACAAGTGCCAAAAGAGCTGATCTCTAAGATGATGAGAAAGATTTGCAGGTTGCAGAAACGTCCCACCGACAATATCAGAGGCTCTACATACAGAGGAGTGAGGAGTCTTGGAAAGAGGAGAGAGTCCACGATGAACCGATTGAATTATCAGAGACTCTACACATAGACGCCGAAGAAAAACATAACAAATTACAGCTACAAAAATATAAGAAAACTGTGGATACAAAGAAAACGATTTGAAAACCAATTGGAGAAGAGCCCGAAGGAAAAATATCCTTTGTCCAGGCCGCCGAGCACTGCGGGGTCAGCGCCAAGCGTCAAGCAGAGCTGGCAGCCGCTGAGGCGGAAGCGGACAGCGGACAAAGCGGAACAAACATAGGCCGTGCCTTTAGACGAAGATGTATCAGAAAACTAATCACAAGAGTGAACGCAGCACGGTCTATTTTTAGAATTTTTTGGGGTTGCTAACTAGTAGTCGACCCCGGAAATGTTCGATCAACCTAGAATGAGGCATCCCCATGCAGCGGGTTTGTTGTGGGGTGGCTCAAGGAGGGCCAATCCCTACAATAGTTTATAACAGTCTTACATGGAAATTGCAGAATGATTCCAAAAATTGGTCGCAGTCCCGACTAGTTGGAATTTGGGTTCTGAAGAGTTATGTAGTCTAGCAGCCCATTTGAGATCCACCAATGTACGGATGTACAACTTTTTCGATATCACCTACTTCAAAATATAGAAAAATAACATGAAACACTGCCAGTGGGGCGGATTAGCGGATTGAAGATTAACCCGATTCAAATCAGCCCAGACCTTGGAAAAAGTGTTTGAGTAACCGAAGATGCATTCCAGCTTTCGATGCGCTGGAACTGGCTGCCTGGATTTGAAGTCTGAAGAAGTTAGACATCTCAGAGCACATCCCTCAACAACTCTGGGTGGTGACTGTCAGATATTTTGTATTTGGGGCTGTTTGGAAACCAATTGATTAATCAATTACTTATGAGTTTTTGTTCGTGAGTTGCAAAAGATGGTGAGGTGTTCAACTCCCCCCGAGGCGCCCCGAGGCTGGGTACTGAGTGAAAAAGTCTGTGGACCACGTGGCATGGCCCCCGAATTGGCCCCTTGGAAAGGCCACGCCACGTGTTCTTTTCCACAAAGAGCTGGTGCCATCCAGTTCTGTATTTATATATAATACATATATATATATTTTTTATTATTTATATATGTATGTATGTATGTAGGTAGGTAGGTATGTATGTATGTGTGTGTTTTTAATTCACTTATTTTGTGAGTGCATATATTCTACATATACAGTCTATATATATATATATTTGGGTCAGACATCTGGCACTTGTTCTGACATCGGTATTCCAATCATTCGAAGTCTCAACATTGGACCTTGGACTCCCGGTCTCAGCTACGTCTGCCCCACAGCGACTCTTCCAGGCCGGAAAGGCTGCTGCGGAGGTCCGGGACCCCCAGCGCTGGAGTCTTCCCCCCATGTGGCGTTCCAACTGGAAAGAATTTGAAGGGCCCGAGTGGTTGGGCGGTTCTTGGAAGTGACCAATGGCGACTTCCGTTTCTTGGAGGTCCACCGAACACTTGGAGACACGACCAGCCTTGGAGGCACGAACCAAGAGATGCCTTGCAAGTGAACAGGCCAAGAGCAAGGCTTGGACATGCAAAAACCCAACAGGCGCCGGCCAACCATCGAAACCCACCCAAAATCAAACAAAACACCATAGAACCATCCCAAAAACCACTCCAAAACCTCCATACAGACCCAGACCCCAATCGATCCACTCCATCAGCTGTGGTCTCAGGCCGTCCGCTGTGCGCCCACCGAGCCACTTCCGCCCACCGTGGAGACCAAGCTGGGCCAGGCGAGGGAAGGCGACAGAGCGTGGCCAGATCCGAGAAGATCACGAGGGCTCCCTGCAGATCCGGTTTTTGGCCCAAAATCATTAGAAAACACGGAAATACCATGCAAAATTTCACAAACTGCCCATCTCCCTTTGCCTGTCAATGTGTAATACCAATGATGACATTATCCGTTTGAGTTTGATGATATAGTTATCAAATATAATATATGTATATATATCAAGATAAACATATATGTCAATGAAAGGGCCCGTTGGAGGAGACAGCGATTGGCACACAGAGAATGAGGATATTTTATGAGATTACTGTATATCATTTACTTCTAGGGAATTGGTATTGCTTTGAGCATAAGATATTTTTATGAAGCGTTTCTAACATGGAAGCAGTTGCTTTCTTAAATGAAATAAGTTCAGACCCCCAGCAACACCCATTCTCTAGAATGAAATCAAAACTCAATTATTAGAAGTCCATTTGCATTGAATTGGAGTCAATTTGGACATATAGAAATCAAAATTAAATTGCAATGACAATAGTGCAAAATTAATCTGAACTGTATAAAGACATTAACATTAGAAATCACTTTCAAATAGATTGGAATAAACAAAATTACAATTTAACCTAAAACAGAATGAAATAGAACTAAATTTCAAACAGTGGATTTTGATTTAATGTATTAAATCAAAATCAACTATTTAAATTGAACTTGACTTAGACCTAAGGTAGAATTGAATTAGGGTCGTTTAACCAAGAGCTTGGTTAGTAGAACAATATTGGCTTAGAATTAGATTAAAACTAAACTCAATTAGATTAAAATTGCAGACTCAATTTGAATTCAATTATATAGAATTCAATTATGTTCAACTTAGAACTAAAATAGAAGCATGTTGCAAATTCACAGTCAACCTCAAACTATTAGAACCCAAAGTAATCAAACATAATTTGAACTATAATAGAACTAAATTAGAAGAACAATTGAATTAGAAGTTGACTACAATGAACTTTAAAATACATAGGCTTAATTTAGAATTCAATTGGGCTCAACTTAGAATTAAAGTAGAAGTATATTACATACTCAAGTTAGATTGAATTTAAAGTTCACTTAGACTCAAACTTGCATGTAAATAGAGATAGTGAAATTCAATTTGAATAACAAGTGACTCAGAAGTTAATTAAATGGTATTTTAAGTCAAAATTCATAGAAATAAATTTGCTTTGAACTAGGGGTTAATTAGAAATAATTAGAAATAGATTAGAAATAAATTTTGTGCACTTTTTGGCAAACCAGCCAAAACCAAAGAAACTAAAAAATACAAGCTCAGGCCCATGGAAAGGTACCCTCTGAATTTTTTTGTCTATTTTGTTATTATTGTTGTTTTTGGTGGCTTTTGGGCAGACCAGCCAGCCAAAACGAGACTTATCACCAATGCCTGCTGTGCGACAAAGTTTTCCAAAATACAAAAAATACAAAACAAAAAACAAAAACACAAAAAAAAACAATGTTTGACACAAAATGCAGCCAACATCCAAAAACCAATAGTGTCCCCAGTGTGTCTTAAACATTGTCTATTTGTTTTTTGGTTTATTGGTGTTTTGGTATTCCCTCTAAACTGTGATAGGCTTGGATCGCACAAAAAAATCTAAAAATAGTTCAAAACCTCAATTTTGGAGAGGTTTTTGCAAGAAATCACTGTAAAACACAGTGTTTTTGCATCATTTTGTGCATGAAAAACATCTCCCAGGAGCACTCGTTCTGTTTTTTAATATGCCAAACCCAGAAGGAAAAATGAAGGAAACATGAAAAGGACCAGGTGTAACGAAGAGTCCGACTCTCAGGTGGGGTTCTACATGATATAGCTAGTGAATGCTAGTGATATAGCTAGATCTTAAGCTGTGCAACATGTCTGCCCAAATTGGCTGTTTTGTTTGCTGTGATTAGCACATATGCTTGGTTTAAGGGAGGAAGGGAGGAACTGTCATCGCCGCATCGTTTCTGCAACTTGCTCTTGGTGTTCTGGGAGCTCGCCACAATGACAAGGGTGACTATACTTGGGTGGAGACTCAGTCGGATAGAAGCAAGCACTGATTCGCTTGTATTCTTTCACTTCCAACCGGTTCTGGCGCCGCACGCGCGGTTTGTGGAAACATCGATGGATGGAATTGAAGCGCCAAACCATTGGGTGCTCCAACTTGGCACTTTGGCTTCGCTTTTGCTTGTGGATATGGGGGAAAACCATGTTCGTGCACGGCGTGCACGGACTTCCAACCAATTTCTTCTGGGCAATCCTGGGACCTCCGGGCTCAGTACACCGAGCTCCTGACCCTCAAGGAAGCCGCCTGGATTCCCTTTTTCAGGCCTGGATTCGATTCCTTTCACAACAACTGACTGTTTCTTTGTTCCAGTTTGTGGAGTCGTTTTGGATGTGAAGTGTCCCGTGTGAAAAATGAAAAACCAAAGGTGCCCCAAATCAGGAGTTCAAGTCGTCAGGGGATTCCAAGCCCCTTTGGATTCCAGTCTTTATGCCTTATAGATCCTGATAGCCTATAATTGCAGAACTGCCCTGCACTGCCCAGATTGATGTGTTTGTATATGTTTTAGATATGTTGTTTACTTTTTTGGTTACCTCCTTTCAACCACGCGTGTCCAGGCGAAAAGTGCTCAGGAGAAGTCCCTTGGCGGCGGATTGGCGATAAGAGATGCACCATCATTGAGGGGACAAAAACATCGGACGGAACCCACCAAGGGCTTTAAACGATGGCCTCCAACCTAATAGCAAACTAAGACCTTTCTTCCTTTTCCTTGCTCTTTGTTTCTAGCGATGGCCTCCAACCCTCCAACCTGCTAGCGATGGCGCAACGGCCTAGCTGAAAGGGCCGAACGCCGCCCTTCGTCTCGATCCGTCCCGTTGGGCGCGTGAGGCTGGGAGACTTGGTGAAGCGCTTGAAAGGTGAAGCCGATCCAGCTCGCCAGAAGGACTGGCCCCGACCGGGGCACCGGGTGTGCGACCCGGTGTGACGGCGAAGCAGACGCGGTGCTCGACGCGGCAGATGTGCGACCGGTCCAGACAGGGCACCAAGTGAGCCATGCACCATGCCAGCCATGGCAACACCCAGCTATTTCCGGACACTGCTCCATCCCTCCCCCGACCTGCGGCTTCACAGCGGACGACTGGTCTCGACGTGGAACATGTCTGCGGTTTGACCCATCCGGCGATGTTTGTTTGCAACGTCCGGACTCGGCGAGATGTCCTCCAGAGTCCTCCCTGTTTTCTTTCGGATGAGGAAAACACTGATGCACACTGTTTCGATTGGCTCCGCAGGAATTGGAACTGCAAGAAGTGCTCAAAGCCAAGGCGGCGACCGGTCCAGCGACCGGTCCAGCTTCCGGATGCATCTTGTTTGGTGTAAAGATCAACATGAAACAGCTTGGAGTTGGGGAACATGGGAGGTGCTGGGCAAGTGCCTTCACGTTCTTTTTCAGTGAGGTCATGCACGTGTCCGTTGGGGTAGTGATCCCATCAATAAAGTGATGATATAAAGTGGTGATGGTGATGTTTGGTTTGTTACTGGTGCATATTTACAATCCATGGTGTCTTTGTTTTTGGGCAAGCCTTGAATCCTCCTTGAATGCAACTGCTTTGCCGTTCCTTGGTCTGAAGCAGCAAAATGACATGTGTTTGCTTGTGGGTCCAGGAACGTGCTGAGACGCTTCTGAAGGCCTTGAAGGTGGAGAAAGGACTTTTGGAGGCCAACGGCTTCAGGGGTCGTAAAACATGGTCAAATGTTGGAATCGTTTTTGGTTGGTAAAGCCACACGGCTGGCGAGAAGTGGTTCGGAATACGATGCTTGTTGCTTTTTCCATGTGAGACGTGAACAAAGTCGACGTGATCATGGTCGTGAATCGAGTCGTAAGACGACTGAACTGATCTGAAACAATCTGGGCCCTCCACAACTTCTAAGGCTTTTTGAGATTCCGAACCCATCTACCCGCACAGTCAAGGCCGAACCCAGTTGCCCTGATTTCGAGAAGCATGCAGCCGCACGCAAGTAGCTGTTTTTCCTTCGAGAAGAAAAGCTGTTTTCCTTCGAACACGGCGTGTTTTCTCACCTGCGGAGCGGGGTTTCCAGGAACAGCTGGGCACCGCGCGGACTGAAGCCCGGATGGCCAAGGAGGTGCGGGTCGGATTTGGTCGGTGTGGACAATCTGCCCAGGCACGCACTCTAGCAGCATTCTAGACTTTTGTGTGTATCCCAGACGCTCCATACAGCTCTTGGTCCCTCAAAACCCTAGGGATTTGAGGGTCCGGACCCCTCCATATGAGGGAACGGCCCCTACTTAGGAGGTTCCAGGGTCGCGTCTGGGATGTTGAAACCTGGTGGATCTCCCCTTTTTGTCCTTTTGGACTGGTTGGGTAGTACTGAGTACAAGCCAAGAACCGCTGCATCGCTCCCCAAGAACTTCCCGTAGAGCTGAACGACAAGGATCAGTTGTGGGGCTGCGGGGCTGGACATTCGGGGTGGTCGCTGTGCTCTTTGTGTTGGCTTTGAAGTTGCTGGTTGAAACAGATTTTCTTGGGATGTTTGACGTGTGTAGGGTGTAGAACTGCAAGCTGACCACACGCCAGTCAAGACTCCCTTTGGTGCGCAAGACTCGGTGCGAGAGGAAGAAACAGTTTTCTCCACAAAGTCATGAATGTGTCAACGAACCTGAAACTGCAGCATGTTCCTTGGAAAGCAATGGTGGCTACTAGTAACAAGTGCATCGCTACTAGTAACAAGTGCCTTACTAGTAGTAACAAGAAGCGAACGTAGAAACAAGAATTAAGGAAGCTCCCACAAAAAAGGAAGACTCCGGGGTCCTTGCGGTCCATCCTCGCTAGGAAGCGATTCAAGCCAAAGAACGGGCTGCGGAAGCGAGTCTTGGACTGGACTGGTGGAACCAGTCCCAGACACGATCCATGGGACTGCCAGCCGAGAAACGGCCAGGGGTGGTTGCCAGGGGGTCTGTCTGGGGCGGCATATGTTGGCAGTCCCATGGGTCGTGTCTGGGAGTTACTTGCTCTAGAACCTGGGTTTGAGGTGAATCTTGGGGATGCCCACTGAATCACTGCAAGGTCCCTTAATAGATCGGAGCCGACATGGGCGTGCGGCCCTCCGATTTGGACGTGGCGTGACCTCAAAACACACCGAAACCCGCGCCGTGGCGCGTATACGAGAGGTGGGGTATGTAAGATGACTATCCACTTCCGGCAATTGGTTGCACGACAAACGTGAAACAGAAGACACCTCGTTTGAGCAAACGTGAAACCCTCCCGTTCTTCGGACAGACCATGGAAGTTCCGAAAAACCGAAGGGTGGTGGTGGAGACTCCACCGTGCGATGAGGTCCTGGGATCTGAACAACCAATTAGTATTGTTTGTTCTGAAAAAAGCCGTAGATAGATGGGGATTTATCTTCTGTGACAGAAGACCCACCAAACGAAATCATCCACGGGTCTCGCTTTCTGTGGTGTGATCCACGCCGCAAAGGTTGAATTGCATTGCATGACATCCATGGTTCCACTACGAACCCTCCAAGCCATAGAAGAAGATGAAGAAGAAATAACTGCCAGTGAGTCCCTTTCATCCGAGCTGCAGATGTTTTCCCACAACTCAGGATGGCAACAGCTCGAAAAGCTGAAGTTCAGATGTCACTTAGATGGGTTTCATGAAAAGCGAACTAAAGACCGTAGAGTTTTTGCGTGTCGAACACGCCTTCGACACATGGCGGGTCCGGCAAGGTGTTTCATCAGGAGTAACCTGCATTGGCACACTGACAGTGTGACTGACATATTCATACATTGGGGTGGTTGAAAAGGGGTCAATGGGGCGGCATGTATTCCGTTTTACAGTAAACCATATTCCATCTATTCCAATCTATTCCATATATATATATGGGTTGAACAGGGGTCAATCAAAAGCTATCATATAGCCATATCTCTTCCATCTTCCAGTCCCGTTTGTCGTGTTTGTACCAACGACTGGGCTTTGGAGTTTCACCGATTCAAAAAGCGAAGCGAGTTCAGAGGTCTGGTGTTCTTCATGTCACCAGGCAGACGATCAAGACGAAGGCGGAAGAGGAGGTGAAAGCCGCAAAGATGCCTGGCTACCTCGATGTTGAGGTGAACAGCTCTAAACGAGACGAACTCGTTTCTGGTCAGACGAGCTGCTGGACCTATTACGGTGTGTTCGCTGTTCATAAAGGTCCTTGTTCAGTGCCTGGAGAAGATCGATGTTTCTTGAGTAGTTATTTTAGAGTACTATGATATTGAACTCAATCACCTTGGCTGCCTTAGCCCACTAATACACACGTGCAGTTCATAACAATGGATGAAATTCCCGAGCTGCGCTGTCCTTTTGCGGATACAGAGACACGCTTGGCAATGCGAGTGGCAGTTAGGGCGTTCAACAGTTTTCTTTGAATCAGTTCGCACATTTGCTAGCTTCAATCAGACATCACATATATTAAAATATCTCTTTCAGATTCTTTCAGTACATGAATTTCAAGCTCTTGCTTCCCAAGCTCTTTACATCGGTCCTTTTTGACCAGTTACCAATTCAGTGACCCGTCCAAGGAACGCACCCACCCAAGGAGGCTCCCGTCCACCCTCGTCGCGACATGTTCGGGAGCCGGTCACCCGTGGTGGATCTCCAAGGAGCAGCTTGGAGAAGGCGGAGATGGAGAGCTTAAGAGCCGATGTCACGAAACTGGCTCAGAGGGTCAAACAGGTTGCAACAACCTTCTTCTTTGTTCGCAGGTGCTTTTTCTTCCCGTTAGGTCAGCCTGTGCTATGTTGATCTATGTTGTCAATTGGTAAATGATTTGATACAATTTTTATATATATAAAGTCTATCATATACTATTTTTATGTATCAATAATATCATATCACACGTGAGTCGTCGAAAGCGAGCGAGTCTATGGTCATGAGTACTGATCCCCGGACCGACATCACAAGACGGCTTTTCGCTGCACGTGGGGTGCATGTAGGTCTTGGCAATGAGTTCTGGGATCAATTCACTCCAACATGTCCAATGATTTCCATAAGTGCCCATTAATCTAAAGACAAACTGGAAAAATGGTCACTTGTTACAGACCGTTTCCGATATAAATCCATTCATAGAATTGGTCGCACTGAATTGGAGGCCCAAGAAGAGCAAAAAGCTGCCACAGATGCTGCCAAGACTGCTGCGGATTCGGAGGGTGTTTGGAGGGTTGGAGCACAGGTTGGAGGGTCATGTGATGTGTCTGAGAATGTCTCACTGTACTAGTGGATTGACCGGGTTTGCCACTGAAATGAGGGTTTGGCAAAGCGCCAAACAAACGCATGCGCGGGTTTAGGAGTAAGAGGTCATGTTCTTGGTGGCTCAATCCCTGAAAGATGAGGTTTCTGCATGGCTGCCCCAACAAGAAGAATGCAAAAGGAGAAAAAGAAGAGCAAGGTGGCTTTGCTGAAGTCTGGATAGAATCGGATAGAACAAGCAAGCCTCACAAGTGATAGCCGGTAGGCAAAGATCACCACAAGAAGGGTCTGAAGCTGTATGATTGCTTGATATGGCTTACCTCTTCTTGTAAGCTCCAACACATGGAAGTGGATGGCCAAACACCTTGGGAGAGGAATCATCCTCTCCAAACAAGTGTGTTGTCTTCCCAATCCTTTCCACGGTGCTTCCGCAGGAAGGCGGAGGAAGCCAAGCTGAAGGCCGAGCGAAGCGTCGAGGAGCTGAAGCAAAAGGCACTGCAACTGGGACTGGTTTTCATGAATGAGGTCAATTGCATCGTCAGAAGCTCATTTAAACATACAAAAACACGGTGGACACAGCAACTAAATATGGCCCACATGACTGGTGGTTTTGGGTGGTTTTCATGTATAGGTCATTGTAGGTCATTTTTTTCTTCAACAATGACCTGGATCATTTGGGAGGGATCTCGGTTCCGTCGCGGCCGGCCAAATCCTTCTCCGAGAACCGTTGATTGGACCGTTTGTGAAGGAGAAGAGTCTTCCCAGCGGCATGTTCCAGGTGCTCATGACCAATGCGTTCGTCGGTTCGTCAAAAGAATTGTTTTGTTTTCTTCGGTGTCACTGGTGCAAACGTTCGTGTGACAATGCTCATGGCAATGACAGTACTTCGCAATGGATTAGGAAGTTGAAGTATTGGGCCGTTACTGCGCAAATGGCCCATGAACCAAGTGAGTATTGTTTTATCACTGCACTTCTGTGTGGTTGGTCGATGCCGTTTAAAACCTATCTTTAAGGTACTTAAAAGAGAAGCAAGCCAGCTCCTTCAATTTGGCCGGTTGATTGCTTGATCGAGTTAACAATAAGGAACATGTATGTTTAGACATGGTATCCTTAAAAGTCGCCCTGCCTTGGTGTCTTTTTGGAGATCACGGGATGTTCTTGGTCCCCCTTCCAAACCCGGCAAAGAAGAGATTAAACAATCCTCTCACTCACATGCATGATGAACCAAAATACTGTACAACTTGGTATCAATGCCTTTCGATTGGCCAGAAAAAGCACCATTCTTCCGGGGGAGAAAAAAGCAAGTCGGTGATTTCAAGGGACCCAAAGGATTAGGCTTTCCGTGCTTTCATCAAAGGAATTTCGTTGCACACCCGAGGACTTTCATCAAAAAACAAACACAAACGTGCACATGTTCCACTTTGGGCCGGTCTCCAAATCTGACACCAGAACATGAGATTTGCCTCACACAACAAATTACTTCACTTCGAGTGATGGGGATCACCATGACATGTCAAAACAGCCACGTTGGACATCACCGTCGTTGTGTATTTCAGCCCGTAGCACAAGTCCTTCAGCGCAAAGTCTAACTGTTTTGTCCGAAGCGCATGCTTTCATCAGGAGACCTAGTAGTACTGGTAGTGGCAGTGGCTGTGGTAGTGGTAGTGGCAGTGGTAGTGGTAGTGGTAGTGGGTGTGTGTTTGTGGTTGTGTGCTTGTGGTTGCGTCTTTGTCGTTGTGGCTGTGGTTGTGCTTGTGGTTGTGTGCTTGTTATTGCGTGTTTGTGATTGTGGCTGTGGTTGTGTTTGTGTGTGGTTGTGTGTTTGTGATTGTGTTTGTGGATGTGTGTTTGTTGTTGTGTGTTTGTGGTTGTGTGTTTGTGGATGCGTTTGCGGTTGTGATTGTGGCTGTGTGTTTGTGGTGGTTGTGATTGTGTGTTTGTGATTGTGGTTGTGGTGCTGGTAGTGGTTGTGATTGTGTGTTTGTAGTTGTGGTTGTGGTTGTGTCTTTGTGATTCTGTGTTTGTGGATGTGTCTTTGTGGTTGTGTGCTTGTGGATATGTTTGTGGTTGTGTGTTTGTGTTGTGTCTATCTTTCAACATGAATGGTTGGTTGGGAAGGGACTTGTTGAGATTTTAAACATATAAGAGTCTGAGCCTCAAACTTGTAACTTGTATGCCATTTTGGCTCAAGTTTGGGCTACAGGTTGTCGTATTTTAGGCAACATCACTCAAACATATTCTTTCGCACCAAGATTCGTTCGCATGCCCTTTGGGTCACCACTGCTCGCCTACCGATCGCCGCAACGCAGACGGGGTGGTTGCCCGAATGCACCACCTTGGACGCGGAGACGCGGATCGGCGACATAAAGGGGAAGTAGGTGCCTGCGATGATACACTTTCTGCGCAAGCGGAGCATCAATACACTCGGAGTCTCTCCTGGAAGGCACGGGGAGCAGCCGGGCCGAGAGAGACGGGAGGTGGGCGAGGAGGAATGGAAGAAGAAGAAGAAAAAAAGAAAAGAAAACGAGAGAAGGAGACCACGGGGTTGGACCCTCGGGAAGAAGTGAGGAGGCGCTTGAGGCGCAAAGCTCGCAGATTGGGGAAGAAGCGCAATCGAAGAAGTTCAATCCAACAGCACATCGGGGCCCGCGTCAGAGTCCGAAGAGATGGGAGCCCTGGAGGAGCTTTTTGCGTTGTCCGCCCTGAGGGTTTGGAGAAAGTATCCAGGGGTATTGACTTCCACAATGATCCTGGAGGCGCAACGGGTGAGTTTGTGGTGTTGTGTTTGTGGTTGTGTGTTTGTGATTGTGGTTGTTTGTGGTTGTGTGTTTGTGATTGTGGTTGTGGTTGTGCGCTGCGGTTGAGGTCCGGCAGGGAACACTTGGCTGCAGCTCGCGGTTGAGGTCCGGCGGAGGAGGAGGAGGAGGCGGAAGGAGGAGATGGGGCTGACATAAAATCTAACAACCCTCACCTGACAGGTGGGGAAAAAGTTCGCAGGCTCACCACCGTTCTCAGTGCCGGAGCGACTGCCGTTCTCAGATCGCCCAGTCGGTCTGGACGGGTGCCACCCATCGAGTCGGATGTCCGCTCAGGTCGGACAAGGACGCCACGGCGCAAGGCCTCCAAAAGAAGTTGGACGACGCCTTGCGGGCCAAGGCGCGGAGGGAGCGGAGCGCCCGCACGGAGGGGGAGTGTGACATGGCCATGGCGGACGACCGCGGTGGCGGTGGGACCGCGGAGGGAGGTGGGGGGAAGTGATGGGTGTGTTTTGGGGCGTGGAGAAAGAGCGCTGCTGGAGAGGGTGGGAAGAGTTTCAGATTGTTTCAGGTTGCGGATGGCTCAATGGTTCAACTTTGGATGACTGGCTGTTTGAGTATGACCAAGGTCATCCTCACAAGGCCCAGCCAGGTTGTGCCAGAAATGTGTCCAAATCAAGAGGACAGCGTGCTTTGAGCAGAATCAAACTCCTGTTTCTGCTTAATGAACCAGCAAAGGACCTCAATATAGATATACATACCAGCACCTTTCAGCAGGTCTCCGAAATGGAGGCTTTTGCAGACTTATTTGTATATATAATTATATATATATATATGAGTCGCAGGTGGTGACCGGTTGGAGGGCAATGGGAGAGAATGTCCAATCCAATTCAACCAAGGACCCGAGGACCGGATCCTCTTTGGATGTCTGTGATGTGGCAAGAAATCGATTGCAGGTCTTTCCTGCAGTAATCGTTTAGATTCCAACGACCTGAGCTCTGCCACAACAGATGAAAAAAGTGAGACTAACTATAAAAAGGGTCCTCATGCAAGTGAACCTGATTTCTCGAATCCCAGACCTCGTTTTTTGTCGATTTGCTCGTCCCAGGCCGCTGCTGAAGCTTCGGTCAAGGAGACTTGGCCAAGTGGTGGGAACATGTCGAAACCAGCTTGCTGCACGACTACCCCAGTTCGCTCTGAACAGACGACATGGTGGACCAGAGCCACTCCTGGGGCAAAACAGGTTGCGAAACCCGCATTTGGCCACATGGGCATGTTGCAAACATGTTGCACACACCGGCCTGCGTACATCAACACATCGACCATGAGACCAATACCTACACACGACACGTCTCTGTGTCGAGAGGAAGGACTGCCGTTTTGGATCACATCTCTGTCTTTCACAAGATGTCGGTCATTTGTCGGTTTGAGCGTTTCCACGGTCACTGGGCCATGTTACTGGGCCATGTTAGAGCATACAGGAGATGTTTTCTCTGTCATCCTCCCAGACTTCCAAGGTCTTGGCTCCAAAACAACGTCTATATATATATATAGAGCTAGAGTCCACAAAAATAATCACGAAAGCTAGCCTTAGCTAGCTGGAGTTGCTCTTGCTTTAGCAAGTTAAGTGACGGGGTGGACGCACCTCAGAAGCCTCAAATAATTGATTAAATCAATCTTATGGACCCCCCCCCCCCCGCGGTTCGACTCCCCCCTGCGCGCGGTGAGCGGGACCACCAAGCAGCTGCAGCACACCAAGCATCTGCAGCGCCCAGCGCAGCAGCGGCAGCAGCAGCAGCAGCGCCAGCAGCAGCAGCAGACCACCCAGCGGCGGCAGCAGCAGCGGCAGCAGCAGCAGCAGCAGACGACCCGGCGCCTGCAGAGCAGCAGCAGCACCAGCAGCAGCAGCACCAGCAGCAGACCACCGGAAGCCCGGCTAGCTTTCGTTCACCCCCTCTGGCCTCAAGTGAGCCTTCCTTTTGACAAACAACATGGCACCGGCACCAACGAAAACAGAACCAAAAAAGAACGACATGGCACCAACAGTGTTCAATAATAAGAGACACAAAGAAAGGACGCTACGAACGGGGCTCCTGGCATCGCTACGAACGGAGCGGAACAAAACCGCTCCTGGCCCACTCCGAGGAGATGCAGTCGTCGCACAGCGAGGAGCGCCAAAACGCCGGAGGGACTAGACCGGAGAAAAGCAACGCGAAGCTTAATGCGATCATAGGATTAATCAACCCCCCCCCCCCCCCCCCCCCCTTCAAGGTCAACAAGGTTTGGGCGCAGACCACATCCCCTTAATAAAGATGATGACCTGATGATGAAAGGGAATTTGATTTGGAAAAATTTGATTGCAAGGGAATTAGTATTTGGAAGAATTGGGCTGAAAGGGAATCAGTTTTTGGAAGAATTGAGATGCAAAGGAATTAGTATTTGGAAGATTTGGGATGAAAGGGAATTAATATTTGGAAGAATTGAGATGAAAGGGAATTAGTATTTGGAAGAACTGAGATGAAAGGGAATTAGTACTTGGAAGAGTTGGGATGAAAGGGAATGAGTATTTGGACGAATTGAGA